GAAATTATTATTGTAGTAATTGTACGATTTCCAAGGTGGCCATCGGCGATGATGTGCGGATCAAAGCGTTCGGATAAGATACCTAAATTCCTATTAACATACATAAATTTTCACGGGGTACTTCGAGGTCAAAAGATTTTGCAATTGTGAAGGAATTGAAGTCGTCCAATCGCCTGTGCCCGGCCACCCAGTGACGGGGTTTGTGGTCGAGCAATCGTAAATTCAAACAACTCAGTTCACGAAGTAAAATCGGAACCCCTGAAGAAAATGCCCTAGATGGCCGTAGGAGCACTAAGGTTTTCAAATAAAGCTAACCCTAAATCACGTCATCAGGGACGGGAGGCAAACACGGTCTTAAGAAACCTCACGAAAAAACAATCACAACACAACCTAAATTGGGCAAAAGTGGTTCTATCTAAAAATAATTGTCTATTTGAAAAAAAACCCTGCCGCGCAGACCATTCTGCACTCGTCGGACACCAACTGGTGGGTCCAGTCTGATACCGAGTACGATATCAAACACAGATATCACCCGGCAGACCAACCTAGGACCAGCAAACCAACCAGGACCCAGACCCAACGAGCAGGATGCAGGCACGGACATCTGCGACTACAGCGCTACCGGAGCTAATCTTCCAGCAAATCTCAACAGGAATAATTTGCTGAAAACTAAAATCATAGAGCAAAGCGTCCACTCAGTGCAATTGAGTAACGGTAGTGTACTTAGGAAATCTGGCGTAGCCACGCAAAAGATAACGACGATCAAGAAGAGAGCACCCGGAGCCATCAATGCTCCCCCTATACCAATGGACGTGCGCGAAAAAATCGCGGCCGCAAAACAAGCGACTCTAAAAGATCAAACTGCCCTGAAAAGTAACTACCCAACTCGAAAGGGTAGGAGACCTAATCCGGAGAACGATTAGGAATCCGACGACGATGACGACGAAAGCTGACCAGAGAGGGAGAGAGAGAGAGGGAGAAACCGGAAGAACACCTGGAGCTAGAGACCATCATAACTCCAAAAACGAGCGCCTCAGGCTGGAAAAAACCGGCGCCAGTCATCCAACTGATTAAGAAATGAACGAGCGTAGAGCGACAAAAAACGGAAGCGGCCAACGAGCCCGGAAGGGTGCGACACTTTGATTACAAAACGGCGACCGAGTATGCGAATGGTTGAAATGCGGAAGAAAAAACAAGAAACGGCGGAAGCGATGAAAAAACAGGGCGAGACTTTGGCATCGGCTACGGCAATTCCAAACGCGAACAGAAAAAAAAACGAGTTAGGAAACAAATACTATTTTTGTATTCAAGCCAAGAGTCGGTGAGCTCACAAGACGAAATACTATCAAGAGAGAGCGGAAGAAAATGAACGGCGGTAGAAAACATGAACGCGGTCATGGTAGACAACATCCAAAAAACCGGAAGGAGGAAAACTGAGTGGAGGATAAAAAGGGGCTAGAACACCTAGTCAAAATTTATTTCTTAGTCCAAGAGGAAGGCCGATCGTAGGTTGACCCGAAACTAAAAACTTCCGTTAAAACAACTCTACATTTGTGTTAATATTCATTCAGTACTTAATTTTTTTTTCAATTTCTATTCCACAGAAGGGAATTGCGATAGTCATAAAATTAGTTCACGTTACTTCAGTTCTGTTCACACACTGTTAAGATTCTGGTGCTGACTGATTTTTAACCTTCTGGTTTTTAACCTTCGGAGTTGTCTGTCACCTTTGATGACTTTATGATATACCTTTCTTCATTCAATACCGCGAAATTTGCAGTACGACTTACTCTTTCTTAACAGATTTAACAGGTGAGATGGATTAACATACGTAGATTATAAATTTTTTTCCTTCAATTTAATCAAAATTTCAAAAGCATGATAATAGATGAAAACAGAAACCTTCACCAAAAATGTCAAAATACTCCAGTATAATTCGTAGTTTAAACCAAATACGAAAAATGGTTACAATTCAGTACTATTAGATCAATGACGTGCGCACAAAATTTTCTAGTGGGGTCGGTGTTTCGAACAAAATTGAATATTTGGCGTTTTTTTAAGTCGACCAATTTGGAATTACGAGCTCTCCGAAAATACTATAAGGATCCCAATGTGTTAAAAATTTTGTGAGCCGCAGGTAAATTTTGAAAAAACAAGCTGAAAAGGAAATTTTGAGCTCTTTTTCAAAAAAAGAACAAAAATTTGGTTTTTTTTTCTGGTGCGCGATCCCTTCTCCCCCCCCCCCCCCCCTTTGCCCTCAATTTTATTATCTTCGCACCAAAGGCTCCTTAAGAAACTTTTTGATAGAGGCCAGCTAAAATTGGATCTCGTAAAAATATCAAATGAGGGTCCTTATGGAAAAAAATTGGCAACCAGAATTGAGGGTGGCGGGGCGGTCACCCTCACCCCTCGGCACTCTACTAATGTTGTTTAGGGTGGTTTGTTAAAAAATTGACCATAGCTTGGTGATACAGTGCTATTTAACCTTCATCTGCTAGCGTGGGCAATTTTTGCGGCTTCGCCTAGTTTTGATTTAAGTGGTAAGGCCTTCACTTGTGCACGCATGCATAAGAACTTAATTGCCAATAGTTTTGGGTTAAGTGGCGAGGCCTTCACTTGTACACGCATGCATAAGAACTTAAATGCCTGGAATATGCAAGACTGGAGGTTTTCTACATCCGGACACTGAAAAGATTTCAAGTTCAAGGCTTTCAAAAAAATTAAAATTTCTGCATTTGGTTGTGTTTCCAGTATAGTTTCATATAATTCAAGTATAAGGTACGAGTATAAACTTTCTTGAGGACGAGCAAATTGATTTTGAGAGCGCTCCAACAACACTATGAGATCTCATTTTGACGATAGTTTCAACTCAGTCAAATGAAATAAAAACAGGTCAAAATGGCGTTTTTGGGCTCTTTTTGGAAAACTTCGGCCAAAAATTTTCGTTTTTTGGCAAGAGTTCCCCTTCAAAGTTTAGTTATATTTTGTCGCCAAAGGCGTCTATAGAAAAATTTTAGGGTTGCTTTGTCGAAAATGGATGTTATAAAAATCACCAGAGAGGGTACATTTTGGTTTGTGAAGGGGTCGAACTCATGAGGGAGGGGGGGGGGGGGGGGAGGGGGGACCCCTTGGAATCCGTTCCTAATCAAATATAAATTTGTTGGATCGGTCATATGACTGAAAGTTTTTACCAGTCTAAGTAAACGCCTAAAAACAGGAGCGGATTTGTTACTGTCCTCACCCTTCCCTAAAATTTCGACCCCTTCACCATTCAAATGGTTCCCTTTCGTACTATTTAACTGCATACATTTTTAGCCCACCGACCCAAATAATTTCTCCAATATACACTATTTGTGAGGAAACCGCGCTCTTTTTGTACTAGTGGAAAAAGGTACACTATTATAAAATGATATTGTGTTAATTGCTTAGATAAGATTCGAGTGGACTTTTTTCTATACTAAAATCGTTCAAACCTTCAGATAAGAATGCGTTTTTATTTGACATTGATTCAGATTTCAACTAAACGATTCAACTTAAAACTCTAAAAATAAAATCCAAATATCTAGCTTTTCTAATTGTAAACGGATTTTTTTTATTCTTCCAGTTTCATTAACCTTAGAAAAGGCAAAGATCTTGACGCAAGTTTAACGGATGATCAAGGGAACTTAATATTTATCCGCTGCACCAGTCAGGCGAAGTGGGCCTATTATTTTGGCTGTGTAAAAAGATGAATCCCCCACTGCTTTAAATTTCAAAGTAAGTAAAGCAGTTAGAAACATTATTCCCCCAGTTAAACTAAATATTGATTTTTTAATATATCAAAAGTCGATAAAATGCAAATGTTTGTCTCCCGATCAAGAAGAGGATAAGAGATTAAAAAAGGAATGAAGTCTAATAGCAGATTAGAAAAAAAAACTAAATTGTTTCGGATGAGCCTGCTTGCATTTTTCAGTGACTCTAATTTTTTATGCCCAAGCAGAGTGCTACAAAAACTCTATTCTCTTTCTTATTTCTTTCTTTAAAAAATAAAAACTCAGTTTTTTACCGTAATTTTTGTAAGAGTAAATCAACACTTAAAAACTTTAATTAAAACCATTTCTGAGGTCAAATAAAACAATCAAAACGGAAACCGAGAGCAATCACCCTAGTGTCGGACAAGCGTATAATTTGACAGCGGACACTGGACATTGTACCCTTTTCTCGACGAGCAACGGACAATAACTTCTTCCCATCTTCTCTTGACTAATTCCCAGCAAAGTTTTGTGTGAAAGAAAAGTACTAAGTTAAGAAATTAGAAATCCCCTCCCATTGGTAAAAGGTAACAATAGATGAACAGTTGTGCATAACCTTTAAACATTTCTATTTAATCATTTTTTTAATTTCATTTGTTTATATACCTATCGTTTTAACTCTAGGGCCAGATCGACTATGATCAATGTTATAATTTAACCGAGACTTTTTGTTTTAGTTATTAATTGACACAAAAGGGTCTATCATTGAACCATTGTTTCTTTTAACAATATTTAATAAACGGCATTTTTGATCTGACCCTTTTTTTAAAATATGCCTTTCGCGCAGAAGATTTTGTCAAATTACAGTCTTCATAGTGTTAAGGGAGCGCTCGGAAAATCAATTTGGTCGATCTAGGTTAACAAAAATTTTATTTTTTTTTGGAAGTCCGCATCCTTCGAGAAAATCCTAGTTCCGCTCCTGCTTAAAAAATATACTGGAAAATTACTTTCCACCAAAACTTCAAGTTGTAAATGATCTAATACTTCAAACGTTTATCATAATGTGGGACATCTTATTATTTGTGGGTCATGGATTGAAATGTTTCATCTTCATACTTGTTATCCGACACGCCACTCAATTTTCTGATATCTATGAATATTTCTCTTCAAACAACAAAACTACCAAGTGTATTTACTGGCGAGCTGAGTGGCATTGACTCCATCGCCAAAGTTAGATCAAAAATGCTCTTATCTCACGCTTATGTGAATTTGTAGTTCTGCTAAGAGGAGATTGAAAATCCTGCTTTACCTCAAGATAAACCCGGTCACAAAAGGATTAGTTCATCATTTCTACTCTCTTCATTTTGGTCAGATCTAAGCTCCGCTAGTAATAAAAGAAATATTTCAACAAATTAGCCAAAATGAGGTCAAAAACGATCCTCACAGTTCTGGCTCTGTCTTTTTTTGCGGTTTGTTCTGCGAGATTTGAAAATGCTACTGAAGCTGACGAAAACGAAGCTGTGCCTGGAGCCTACTGGTCGACATACAACAGTTCCATTGTCTTGAACGGAACATCAGCAGCAAATCTGTCTTTTGAACTTGGCTCGAGTAATTATACCACTGCCTATGAGATCAAGAAAAAGAATATCATCGATATCGTAAGTTTGTATACCAAAAAATTGCAGCAATTCTTAACAAAAAACATAGTCTAAAAAGCAAAATACAGAAACGCAAAGATATATTTCCCAAAAAATTTTGCGGTGAATCTTCAACAAGAAAGCGGAAAAAGTGATGGACTTCATTCTTTTTTAAATGGGTGTGTAATTGCTGAATCTAGTAGTCGAATCTCTCCGTAATGTTTAATGTCAGCCTGTTTTTTTCACCAGGAGTCGGAATGGAGATTCGGAAGCACTCAAGACTTGACTGAAAACGACAGTCTGCTCAACAAAATATACCTGGAGCACAAAGCGAAACTGCTGGAAGAAGGCTTCGACAACGAGACCCTCTTTCGTCACTCCGAATACTTCACCACACGAAACTTCACGAATCGGCCGACCAACATGGTCTACGAGATCATCAGACGACTGCCGAAGGGTGCTCTGCTGCACGCACATCAGTCGGCAACTCACGACTTGAACAAATATCCAAAACTGTTGCTGAGCATCGAAGGGTGTAAGATATGCGAGGGCAGCGGCTCTTATAAGTTGCATTATTTCGATGAAGGAGGTTTGTTCAAACATTTAAACTCACTACCTCATTCTTCGTAAAACTTTTTAAAAAGATACTTGTTTTTTTTTCATATGCGCTTCTGACCTGTTTCGAGGAACAGCTTTGACGAAATGTTTGATATAATAGTGCTTACTCTACGAGAAAGAACCCAAAGACAAAAATGGTCAGCCAATGTTTTGATCGTCATATTAGTCTATTCTTAGTTCAAAAATAAGTTTTCACTCTGCTGGTACTGAGTCTGACTTGCTGTTTCGCTCCGTTGGAGCCAAACAATTCAGCGCAACTTTTTCTTCTGAATCAGTGCTTTCTTAAATCACTTGTTTTAAACATTTCCTTTAAACTTACATTTAGTCCTGTATTTCACGGTGTCTTTTTGGAACGTTTTATTAATTTATCAATTGGAGTCGGATTTTATGAAGAAATTTTTGTTCAATTTGGCTCATTTTATGGATTTCTTACACGATAATCAAGTAGTTCCATTTTGTATGTTTCAGTCAACATGCCCAAAGGTAATCTGACATGTCGAAAGTGTCCCACTGAGAACGATACAGTTGCTTACGAGAAGGAACTGAAGACATTGACTGCCCAACTGAGCATGTACGATGGGATCGACTACAGCAAGGAGACAATTCAGTTTATTTGGGAAGAGTTTGAGAAGAAGTTCGGACCCACCGGCGATGCTAAAGATGCGTTCCATGTCTGGAAAGCAATGCTGGACTCCACTTTGGATCTGCTGGTCGAAGACAACATTCAATATGCCGAGTTCCGAACCGGGTTTGGTGACTTGATGCTCAAGAATGGAACTGTAGTTCCTTATGACGAGGTTCTAGAGTATCTGGAGGAACGAATCGAGTTCTACAGTAACAAGTATCCCAGTTTTTACGGGATCAATTATGTCTTGTCAAAAGGACGTGTGGGTCTTTCGGATGAGAAGCTACGAAAAAAGTTGGAAGCAGCAGACAAGTATTTCAAGAGTTCTGATCTGATCCGAGGTTTCGATCTCGTCGGATCCGAAGAGAGCGGAAGGACACTTAAATCCGTGTTGCCCGTTTTGTTGGACTGGAGAAATGCTTCTCAGAGCACCATGCCATTTGTGTTGCACGCTGGAGAGACTCTCTGGACTGGCTTTGGGTCCGACGAGAATGTGATTGATGCAGTCATGTTGGGAACGAAAAGAATCGGTGAGTCAATGTTAAGCATCAGCAATGAGTGCAGAGAAAGTTGCAGGTCTTCTTATGAGGGCTTTATGAATATAAGGAGCGTACTTTTCTTGACGCCAAAAACCCCAAGTCGCCTTTAAAAAAGATTTGGGCTCAGTCGATGGAAATTTTCCTGATTTTAAGTAGCAAAAGTCGAGGGGAATTAACAAAGGCTTTGATGATTTGAGGACTTGAAGTAGTGACTGATTGAGTTCAAATTTAAGTTAAATTCAGTAGCGTGCCGAGGGGGGCGACCACCCCGCCCCTCAATTCTGGTTGCCAAACTTTTCCAAAGGGTCCCCCCCTTTGGTATAACTTAACGACATCCATTTTTGGCCGACCAACCTCTAAAGCTTTTTAAATGCACACCTTTGGCGCCAATATAACTATTTTTGAATGGGAAGCGCTAGCCGAAAAACGCAATTTTTCGGTCAAAATTTTCCAAAAAGTGCCCAACAACGCCTTTTTGGCCTGTTTTTTGTTAGAAAAACTTGCCTGCGGCGCACGAAATAAAAAAATAGGGTCCATATAGTATTTTCGGAGAACTCGGAAAATAAAATTGGCAGACCTAAAAAAAGGTCGACAAAATTTTTTAATATTTCCAAAAAACCGCCCCCCCCCCCATAAAAAATTCTGCGCACGCCATTGGTTAAATTGGTGCGTCTTTTCTGCTATACATTCCTTCATATCCAATTCGTTAATTGAGCTTTTGTTTTATTATATTTCTAAAACACTGATTTACAGGCCACGGATATGCCCTGGACGCCCATCCTTACGTGCTCGAATTGGTTAGGGAGAAAGAAATTGGACTGGAGCTGAACCCCATTTCTAACCAGGTGCTGGCACTTGTTGATGACATTAGAAACCACAGAAACAAGCGACTTCTGGACGTTGCCAACAAGCCTGGACAGCTTTCGAGCAACCCACTCCGCTTCTCTGTAAACTCAGATGACTGCCTCATTCTAGGAACCAAGTGAGTTTATCTAGATACTTAAGCATTGAAAGGCAACATAAAAAAAATAATTTCAGCTTAATATGAAATGAAATTTTGCCCGCCACCTAAGTTTTTGTTGAAAAAAATTAATAATACTTTGTCCACCATTTTTTTACCCAATGAAGTAGAGTTCATTTTAATTCCAATATATGTTTCTAGAAAACGAGGAAAACATCAACTTCTGTTTTTGTTCATCACCGAACGGGGTTTTGTTGTTGTTAGATTATAGGATTCTAACATTGTCATGCCATTTATATAACATATCATGTTTATTAGTTGCATTCTTGCTGCAGTTATTGCAGTGGCATCAAGGTCGCCCACTAGCCGTGCTAAGCTATATCTCATGGTGCTAACACTTTTGTTCATCTGTCTGTCCAACTGTGTTGAGATACAGACCTACTCTTATTTGTTACGTTAGCTAACAAAACTTTTGTCCTTATCTACATTAAAACCTTTGATCATAAAAGGTCAACTCTCGATCGGATAAGATCCCTTATAAGTACGATATTACTTATATACTACAGTTGTAGTTATTTAATTCAACTCCTCGATTTTACCGAGTTTTGTCAGTCCCTGAGTTCGGTAAATGTCATGGCGTAGCCAACAGTTCCTGTATCAGATGACATGACGGACCTCGCTGGCTTACCCCCATTCTGGACGAAGCCATCTCTATCCCCACCTTATAGTTGGTATAGCTGGTTCGGTCAATTCAGCCTAGCACTAGGTATAAAGGACAATTTCAATGTCTCGGACATTCTTGTCGAGCCCGGCGACGTGCACGACGACCCCCCTCCCAGGCCAGAATCTAGGCCCGACCCAGAGTCTCAACGAGAATTGGATGATCGCTTCCGCGGAGATGCCGTCGCACGACGAGGGGTGGAAGAAGCAAATGCCGAGAGGAGGAAGAAAGGCCCGCGAATCGGAATGAATTGGTTCTTTCATGAAGCAGAAGCAAGAACAAGATCAAGACTATTTTTGCCCTGGGAAATGAAGGCAGAAAGAAACTGGTGCAAGTTTTTCCACATGCGGACCTCAACTGACTATCATTTAGAGAATTTTTCCAAAACTGTGTCTCGCTTTTAAGGTGGAAGTTAATGTCACCATGGAACGCAATAAACTTTATAGTTCTTGGTACATGGAAGAGAACGAGTCATTTTTATCATTTCACTCAAGACTGTCGGCTCATGCGGCGTGCTGTATTGCGGCGTGTTGGACCGAACAGGGAGAACGCAGTTTGGTATGAGACCTGTTTATAGGACGTATCCGTGACTCGGACGTACAAAGTACAATAATTCGGAAAAATCCGGACGCCGCTGGAAACTTAAATTTAGCGTTGGAGCTGGAGAAAGGCGCATATACTTCAATGGAGTTCCACAAGATCTTAACCCACAATAAGAACGTTTCTTCTTTTTTCAGTTTGCCCAAAACAAAACAAGAGCCAACCTTCTCAGTTCAATCGCGTCGGGGTGGTGGTCAATCCTCTTCCCGCAAACAAAACGTACCGGACAAGAAAAGTCAAAACCCATCACGATTGTGTTATTTTTGCGGTAATTCGTATTCTCCGGAGCATTGAAAAAAGTGCCCGGCACGAGATGTAGAATGCCGTACATAGAAAAGGGACATTTTGCGAAAGTGTGTAACTCTAGTCGTCGAGTTAATCGTGTGGAAGAAAAGGAAGCGCAATCAAGCCTGGAAACGGAAATTGATCATATTGTCCTGGATCAAGACGATGACAGCGAACCTGTATATGTAATTCTCAGTATCCAACCGCGAAGTAAACGATCTTTACTTCAAATTTGATGCTTGGAACTGCTAAATTCTAACCGTGGTACACCCCGTAATTTGATTGTGATGTTACGTTCAAACGCAAAGTCATTCTATGCTACGGTAGACACAGGACGTCCGGTGTCTTTCTTAAATAAAAGGACAGCGGATGTGTTGCTTAGGCAAAATCCTAAATCACGTTTCATCAGTGTCCAAAACTTGTCTAACGGGACTTCGTATGTGGACTATAACAAAAATTCCATTAAAATTTTCGGAAATCTGACGATACCTATCTCCTCTGGGGGATGAAAAAATGATAACGCCACATTCCTAGTTTCAGAAAATAAAACAAGATGCTTATTGGGGTTGGATCTGCAAGGCTCTATGGGCATAGATACCGTCCGAAGTAATCCACTTGAGTTGAAAACAGTACAAAATGTGGTGGAAAATTCAACCTCCGAACTGATTAAATCACATTTCGTCAAAAAGTTCTCGTTGTTGTTCACTCGGTTGGGCAGGTCTAATTCTCATCAAATACACACTACGATCATGGAGCCGCTGGTACCCAGACGAATAAAGAACATGAAGGTGCCAATCCACATTCAGGACCGCGTGTCGGAAGAATTAAAGGCATTGGTTAGAGATGGCCATATTACGAAGCTAGACAATTGCACTACAGATCATTTCATCAACCCATTGTCATTACAGCAGAAAGATGGATCGATTAAATTCGCAATGGATGCTAAACCCCTCAACGCTCAAATATGGAAAAATAAGTATCAAATGCCAGATATTCAAGAACTAATCGATTCGGCAGCTCAGATCATTACTAGTGATGTCCCTGGTTCGGTATGGTTCAAATCTCTCGACTTAAAATACGCGTGCAGTCAAATAAAACTTTCGAAATTAACGAGTAGTCAATGTAACTTCAACATCATTTGCGGAGAGTCGACAGGAACATACAGATTCAACGCTGGGTTCTACGGGTTGACGGATATGCCGTCTGAGTTTCAAAAAGCGATGGATTTTACGCTGCAGGGAATTCCGGGGACTATTTGCTACTTGGATGACATTCTAGTGGTCTCGGAGGGGACGCTGTCACAACATACTGAAACTGTTCATAAAGTTCTCTCTAGGTTGGATGAGGAAGGTTTTGTCTCGCGTTGAAGTTGTCCACATGCGAGTTCGTAGTGGATAAGCTCGAATGGCTGGGTTTGGATATCCACTCATCTGGTTATTCAAAATTTTCCATGATTGAAGCAGTTCGCAATTTGAAGGCACCTAGAACACTTAAGCAACTCCGGTCTTTCATGGGAACCCTCAACAATTTCCAAAACTTTATGCCTGGTTTACATAACCTCACGTGCGAATTTCGGGAATCTCTTAAGCTTTGTTATAAGAGGAAATTCGTTTGGAACGAACCTCAGGAGACGGTTTTACAAAAACTTCTGGATCTCCTTGCAGAAATTACTAACTTGTTCCACTATCACCAGGCAAAGAAGACGCGCGTCAAATGTGACGCAACCCACAGCGGCTTGGGAGCATGTATGGAGCAAGAGACCGATGCAGGTTTGTGGGTACTTATTTCGTTTGCCTCACGCTTCCTTAATTCCGCGGAACTTAAATATAGTACTAATGAACTTGAATTGTTAGCGGCGGTCTGGGCGTGCGAGCATTTCCGCACTTACCTATTAGGTCATAAATTCGAGATACTTACGGGCCATAAGGCCATCATTTCGGCCCTATGAGAACAAAGAGGAAACAAACCATACTAGTCACGCTTAACACGCTGGCGGACAGGCTTCTAACGTTTGATTATGACATCAGGCACGTGCCTGGTGCTACTCTTGGTATGGCTGATTATCTTTCTCGAAATCCTACTTTTGACGCCCCCCCCCCTAGTTCCGTATACGATGAGTTATTTGTCATCAAAACCATAGAAAACTTCACTCAAGCGTGTAACTAAATTAGGGCTGGCGCATGAATGCAGCCACCAGATCTCACCAACGGCACTTTTTTTTCTCATAAATCCACTGAGAATTTAAATTTCGTCAAAAAGTCAGTTGGCATCGGTATTTACAGTGGAATGCAGCGAGAAGGCGAATTCTCAAACTCAATTACTCTCGACCAATCAGAGTCACTCACTAGTGGTGAGTAAACGCCGGTAGGGGGCGATGATTTGCTATCGTATTGCTACAAGGACGTATGCAGTTGTCCTCCGCAAGGTGGAGTTAATTGTGTCTATAGCGATCTACACCAATCACAATTCAACGTGGTTTCACGTAAATGGACACCAATTAAGTGGAGCTCGTTGACGGAAAATATTAACCAATCACGTTCGTGCGTTCTTTCGTGCGTTCTTTCAGTGCGGGGGGCGCATGAATTTGACGGACGTGCTAAGCCAATCAGGAAAAAGATGCTCAAAAAGCACCAAAGCGCTAGAGGGCGATCGGTTGTATGATTCCGCGCTCAACCAATCAGACTCAAGATTGAAATTCACGCATCCTAAAGGCCAAAACAAGTCATTCTCAAAATCAGTTTTGCTCAGTTGTTACTCAAATTCAGTTGGCCAATCACACTCCGATTTGACTTCGCCTATCAACGACTCTGCGTTGCTGGATAAAACAGCGGTCTGAGAAAACTTCCTCGACTTTGTCGAAAACTTCGATGCGGCCCCAAACCTCAACTCACCTAACACCCCGGCTCCTACTATTGTGGAAATGGCTCCGGCCAACCCACCACGCTCTCGCCCATTGCTCAGATACACCTGACTGCAGACCGTCAGCAATCATGCTCCGACGAATCGTCAGGGGCCTCCCAGAACTCCACTACAGTCAATTGCGAGTTTCATCGAGAAGTGTCGTCGCAAACCGGGCCCGTCAGCAGCGCGAGTCAAACCGGGCCCGTCAGCAGCGCAAGTCACAAGGAGTTTGTGCGATCAAGACGAAACCCTTCATCTCCCAAGATAAAAAAGAGATAGTAGGCCTTCCCAGCTTATTCGATGTTGAGCAGCTGGCAGAACTTACCGACGAAGATGAGTTTCTCGGGCCCATGAAGAGGGCAATCTTGGACAACGACGTTCGGTCCTTCTCGAAACAGGAGGTGTATATTTCGCAGTTTTGGCCAATAGCGTCTGTGGTGGATAACTGTATCCTAATCGACAACAAACTGGCAATACCCTTCAAGCTCCGTTCGGCGATCCTGCCCGTTTCCACCGATCTCACCCGGGGCAGCAAGTTATGATAGAGGCGGAGGAGTATTTTTAGTGGCCCTACATGAATCGCCAGATCGTTGAAAAATGCCAGGGGTGCATGAAATGTACGAAGTTTGGTAAGAACGTGAAGCCATGTAAAACCTTTAATTCTTCGCTACCGCTCCCTCCCCTCTTTGCTCCTAACGATGAAGTACAGTTAGATTTTGCTGGACCGTTGCAGGATGGAAATTAATAAAGGTCTTCATCTTAGTCGCAGTTTACCGGTTCTCAAAATTCTAGTCCGCTTCACTTACAAAAAAAACAGGTTCCAAAAAAGTGGTCAAGTTTCTGGAGGCTTATATACGCAACCACGGCATACCAAAATCTATACGCACAGACCACGGATCCGGTTTTAAAAATACGTTGCTTAAGGAATTTTGCGAAAACTTGGGAATCGATCAATTATTCTGTCCAGTTGGTGACCACCGTGGCTGTGGGCAGTGGAAAGGACTATCCAGACGAAAAAACGCAAAATTGAAAACAGATGCATTTAGCCTTCAGTTTAAAGGTCTCTATCATGTCCACACGATCTTGGATGACCTGAGAAAATCCAAGCATGGAATACTTAAGAAATCCCCTTTTGATGTTCACTTCGGTAGAAAACTGAAAACGGAATTTTCTTTGGCTAGGGATAAAATTCTTGCTAATGCTTCAGATCAAAGTTCTTTTGCGCGGAGTCCTTTGAAGCCGGAAGACCGACACAGTCAAGATTATAGCCTGGACAGAGTAAAAGTGGTGAAACGTGGTAACCACAGTCCAGGTGTGCCACTCCGCTTCAAGAAAATCGTCCCGGGCCAGAAGATAGCCGACACCAAGCAATACAAGGCCCATGAAGAACTTGCACTCGCTGCTAATAAATAGAGCCAGCTTAAACGCAATCTGAACGTGGAGACGGGACAAAACATGATGCGGGAACTCGGGTCACGCAATAATGAGATTGCTAATGCTCTAAAAACAGGCCTCAACAAAAGTACCCTGAGGTTTTACGACCGCGTTGCGGATGCGCCGTTAGAGAGCCTTCAGCTTCACCGGGCCCTTCGAGACCAAGACCTTCCGGTACGAGTACTTTAGAATCTCTGTTGGTACTTAGACCTGATAGTGTAAAAGTTTATAGAAATTGTCAAGACAGAAAATCTGGAAAACCACTTTATAGACCGGCAAAATTCAAGATCGTTCGAGTCACATTTAACACGTACATTACGAATGCGGGAAAAGTTTACCGGAAGAATCATATAGCTTTAAAATGCAATTTTATTAAACGTGATTTTTTGGCTAACAGATCAGCAGCAGCCCCCGTTCGGGGAGTCAGGATTGGACAAATGCCTCCACGAAAAATAGCGCCAAGAGGCCAGACCACTACGCTACGCAAAGATGTCTTATCACGATAGTGCCAGCTTCTCATCAGCGGTCAACAGCTCCGCCAGTGGTCCTGTTGTCGGACTCGGACACTCAGGAGGCTCTGTCCCAGACTCAGTTGCCCAGGCGGTCTCCTCGTGCGATGTCCACGCCCCAGCCGGCCTCGAGAACCTCGTCAGTGCCTCTTCAGGGATCGTCGGCGAATCTTGTTCCTCAGACGCCTTCTACCCTAATGCACTCATCCTTACCCTTGGACTCGCCATTGGGAGGTCTGATTGCCTCGAATACCTCTGTGGCCACCCTACCTGCAGCAGACACCGCAGCCGTACGAGCCCCTACTCTAAGATCTCGGTACATCGCTCAATTGATTCCAGATAACTCAATGGGGCCATCATCATCTGCAGGCCGAGTGGTGACAAAAATCGCCAAACCGGGTCCTACTACTTCAGGATGTCTAAAACAAGCCAATCCGACTCAGCCAACGGTGCAGGATGACGTGGAGTCGCAAACCTCTTCGACCTTGAGTGCCATGGTGTAGGTCGAAATAGAAAAGCTCCAGCTCGCTACGGCAGTCCAATTCGCCACTCAGTAAAGGAGGTGGAAGAAGGTGTAGCCACTTCTCCGTCGTCAGGTCAGGTCGGAGGCAGTTCTCCAGTCACCCCAAAGCGACGCTTCATTAAAAGAAACACCGAGGGCTTTGTTCAGCCAGGTTCTTCGACTGACAAACATTCCCCAAAAGAGATCATATTAAAGAGTAAACAACCCCAGTATCAAAGTTTCTTAAACTTTCGTCAAAATGTCGTTCAGTTCTGTCATTTGAAACTGTTATACTTTATGCCTAGTCTGTTTCTCACCCTGGAGTTAGTGTTGTTTATATTAAGTAAAATCGTATCGTATAAGAATTTTTTTGTTGCCCCCGGGTATGTCATGCCACGCATATAACATATCATGTTTATTCGTTGCATTTTTGCTGCAGTTATTGCAGTGGCGTCAAGGTCGCCCACCAGCCGTGCTAAGTTATATCTCGTGGTGCTAAAATTTTTGTTCATCTGTCTGACCATCTGTGTTGAGATACAGACCTACTTTTATTTGTTACGTTAGCTCACAAAACTTTTGTCCTTATCTACATTAAAACCTTTGATCATAAAAGGTCAACTCTGGACCGGATAAGATCCCTTATAAGTACGATATTACTTATATACTACAGTTGTAGTTATTTAATTCAACTCTTCGATTTTTCCGAGTTTTGTCACTCCCTGAGTTCGGTTAAAGTCAAAGATAGAAAATAAATCTACTTAAAAGAGAATTCTACTTTCACGAAAATTTCTTTGTCTTTTTTGCCTATTTCTTTTATTTAAAGGTCAACGACCTTGATGTATTTTTCTTCTTCTAAAATTCCAAACTGCCACTTAATCTACTGGGATTGAAGGAAGCAGCAGATCATGATGTACTCATTTACAAACTAATTCAATCAATCAATTTATGTATAAAATGGTTCAAATAACATCGGATCTTTAGATAAGCCTAAGTAGTTCACTTTTGTTTACAAATTAGGTTTTTAAAAGTTTTCAACAATTTCGCTTAAATTGACATATTTTCAATCTCCTCTGCTTTTATTCTTCTACTCTTCCCTCGTTCAGCTGTTTTCTTTCCTCCCTCTCTGAACTTTGTCATGCCTGGGTTTTCATACTGCGGATTCCTGTCTGTCTTTTTAATTGACTCGGGATTCTTTCCAGGGACGCTTTTTTACCGTGATTCGACCCCCTGCCGACAAAGGGTCTTCCCATTGTACAATTTTGAGATATCCATTTTGCCTGACGGACCCTAGAATTTTTCGAAAAGCGCATTGGGCGCCAATATTTATTAATTTTGAGGGAGAAGCGCGCGCCGAAAAAACGCGGTATTTGGTCAAAGTTTTCCATAAATTGCCTAAAAACGTCTTTTTGGCGTTTTTCAAAATTTTGCCAGCGGCGCAGAAAGGTAGTCCAATACAGGGTCTTCTTAGTGCTTTAGGAAAGCTCGGAAACTCAATTTGATCAAACTAAAAAAAGGTTGACCAAAATGTTCGAAATGTTTTTGAAAATCCGCCTCCTCCACCCCTCCCCCCCCCCCCCCCCCCGAGAAGTCGATCGTGTTTGTTGCCAATTGATAGATGGGCGGATGTTCAACAATATATCTTGAAGCCAAAAACTAAATCAGAATTACGTAACTCTATTAGATAATAACAGTATTCTGTCACTATGTTGCAAAACAATTGCAATTTTAGGTTTGTGGGAATGGTAATTTTGCTTGTCGGGTGTTAGTCTTTCGAATTGTGGTGTACCACCGATAAATGGAAATCGAATCTTCGTTCTTCTGTTCGATAAGTCCATTTTTTCCTATTGTAGATATCCCTGAATAAGTTACGTCAAAAAAGTTTCAATTAAAAACTGCTCTCCATAGGTCCTTTACGTAGCTATCTTTCTTGGCTCTGTTTTTCTTCTCTACGGCAGTCGTATTGTTTTCTATTTCATTTTGTTCGTTTCCGAGGAAAAAAGTATAATTTATTCGTGAGTAGAAATTCAAACCACATGAAATACGAGCAGTCTTGCTTCTTTTTGTTTTTACTGCAAACGGACCGTTTTTGAGCCTATTGTTCTTGTTGCGCAGCAAACCCGGCAATTTTTTCCTGTTAATAAATGAATGAGTTAATGGTTTTGAAACACTCATTTTAGGCCCATGACGGATGACCTCTATGCTGTGGTGATGGCCATGACCTCTAAAACTAGTGACCTTCGAGTGTTGAAGAGAATGGCCTATGACTCAATCTATATTTCTCTCCTAACTGATGAGGAGAAAGCCTACCTTACCACTCGCTTCGAAAGTCAGTGGGATCACGTGGTCATGGAGCTCTTGCTTGAGGATTATAAAGAAAACAGATGTTAGAACAAGAGGTACGGCAAAAAAAACACGAGAGAAAATTTCACGATCAAAAACAATATAAGCAAACATTATTAACTGCAATCTCATGAAGTTTACCTGACTCGTAACCAAGAACTCGGTTTGTAACTGATGGCTATGCCCTATGACTAAATTCACTCTAATCAGATTTGACTTTGACTTTAATAAATTATTCAATCAGTTTAACAAAATTTACTCATGCTAGAATCAACATATGAGTTCATTCAGCTGCAAAAGTGGGAGTAATTGGCCGTTCTGCTGGGTTTGCCGAATTTTGAAAAAAAGGTACTTAAATTGAAATCAAAAAATTATGTCAAAAATGACGTTTTTAGAAACTTTATGGAAAAATTTGACAAAAAAATGGGTTGTTTCAGCGTGCTCGTCTCTTCGTAAAACGGCATCCAAGGCGCTTTTAGACACCCCCAAAAAAAATCCGCTACTGGTTTAACTGAGATTGATTTGATTCATTTTAGCTACGCAATCGCTTTTTACTAAAATAAACTCTCCACGTTGAGACGGATCGAGGATTTTCTCGAGGGGGCTAAATTTTCTCGAGGGCGCTCTTAGAAAAAGTTTACGGTTATTGGCCAAAAAATGGATATCATAAATTAATGCCAAAGCGGGAACCATTTGGTTGGTACAGGGGTCGAATCCCTGAGAGAAGGCAGAGCGTCCGCCCCCACCGCCCTGTCTCCACAACAAATCGCATCAGAAAAAAAATACTGTAGAAAAAACTCAATTATACAAAATACAAATTCCAGAAAGTCCGTACAAAAACCTCATTTATAATAAGTGTGTAAAAAACTCATCTTTTGGGTGTTGTAATTGAATTTTTTTGTAGAGAAAACCTTTTGTTTAAACATATTTTCTTGGCGGCTAATGCTTGAGTGTGATACATTCAAGCTTCCTTCCACAAATTTTTGGCGAGTTGTCACATGATGACGCACAACTTTTAAAATATTTTTTAAATGATTATTAGTTTGATGGTTCCTGTGAAAGTTGTGTTAAGCCACATATTCGAGCTCCGGATGTTATTTTTCGCCCTTTTCTGATTGGTTTTGAATTTAACGCTTTCATTCATTAATGATTTGAGTCAATTAAAATAAAAGCTCAAACAACTCAGATTTCTGACATTGAGCAAATAAATTTTAAAAATTTACCCAAGGTGGACATAATAAGAAAGACGAGTAGTCATTTATGGTCAAGTTAAATTCTAACCTTGTCTTTAAAGCTTAGGTAAAGTTTGAAAAACAAAAACCTTTTGCTATTTTAACTCAGCCCATTTTGTTTTCTAGAAAAAAGTGTACTGATACCAATTCAAAGAATAATCACCAAGCATTTCACGACAATATTCTACCTAATTTCAAGGTTTTGATAGGTGAGTCAAATTTATCACAAACGTAAATTTTCATATGCTTATAAGAAAAAAATATTTATTCTACTTGATATTGATATAAATAATAGGCAAACTTTTTCAAGCACTCGACTGAGTTTCCTTTTAACAACTTTTAACGACAACGTTTCGTTAACCAAAATCTCCGACAATTTTTTTGATTTATTTTTGGATTGCGATGTTATTCAGCGTTTCGATTGTTATTTCATTTTAAAATAAAAAAGCACGAATGACGCGCATGAAGTTGTCTACGAAAGGCACGCCTGAAGATAAGGTTTCCAAGAATGGCGCGTTCGACAACATGTTCAGTCCCCACACTTCACATTCTCGTTCTTGTTGAGTGACGGCATCTAAAAAACGAGAGATTTAGTAAATACCAAAAGTTAGAAATTTGTGTTTGATATATATCAAAGTGGTAGATTTGAACTGTTCAATTATTGTTCCGACTTTCGTAACGAAAGTAACTAAATATTTGTGCTCGGGAGGGTTTTTTTCCTTACACAAAATTTGATTTTTAAACTAGCCACTTTTGACGGAAAGATATTTCACTTGTGTTCATTTTTCGTAAAGTTATGGAGGTTTAATGATTGCCAATTTGGGACAATTAACGCGCGATATATTTCGCGTTATTAACGCGTAAGAGGAGATTTATTCCGCATTGGACATCGTTCCAAATTGGTTGAAGGAAGCTTAATTGCCATAACTGACGTGTTGCTAAGAGCGAAATTTATCACTTTGTTCTTTATATGGCGTTTGGGGGATGATTTTTACAAAAAGTCTCAAACTTAAAAAACAAAAAGATCATTTTATTTTTATTGCATTTATTTTTTTCATGCTATTACTGCTCCATAGACTTTAAAAGGCAGTCGGAACAATCAGGGCTTCGCCCTGATACGAGCAGTCTTGTTTTTATTTAGAGATTATTACTTACTTTAGAATGTTCAGTTGAATTTAATTTGTTTTCAAGTTGTTTTACAAAGTAAAAACTTTTGTTTTTAGCGTGAAACAAAATCAGAATGAACATAGTTCTATTTGCGGTTGCTTAAAAACATAGCCAATCCTTATATGAAATCAACCAGTCAATATTGAACACTTTTAAAAATGGTTTTGTTGTTTTTATAATTTATTTCCATCATTATTTGAAAAATGTCTATGAAAAAAACACTTTAAATTCCTCTTGTTAATAAGCAAGAAAAAAAGAAAAAACTCTATTGATTTTTTGATTCATAAATTGACGTTGTTTTAGGCTTTTTTTTCATAACATTTTGGACGATTACCTTGCTAAAACATATGACGAATTTAAGACAGTTTATCCTCATGACAAAATACGGTTTTATACTAGAAGACATCAGATCATCAGGCAAAAAGGTACAGAAATATCGTTGGAAGGTCAGAAAGTTTAAAAAGCTATAAGAACAAGTGGTTCTTGTGCAAGTAGCACCGTATATTTCAGTGACTTTATACGTTTTCTCAGATTTTTTCTTTGAAAGACATCAATATGATATCTAAAGAAGACAATATCAAAATCAGATTGTAGCCCAAATATTCGCTCCCACCCATTCACTTTGTGGCAACTCGATCAGAATAATAGACATTTTGTCCTAATTTTTTGGAAAAAAAAGAGAGAAAATCGGCAAAATAGAAAACTAAAGCACCAAAAAATCCTTGAAAAAAATTGAGCTTAACTCTCTTTGAGTTTGATTAAAGCGTAAATATCAGATTGCAAACAGCCGCGATAATTTTACGAGCAGCAGCAAACTTTTAACAACAGGGGTTTGCCTCGAGTTTTTTTTTCAAATTACCCTACTAGGCTGGGAAAAAGATCAGCTGAATGTTTCCATTTAGGACTTTTTCCGCGAAATAGAAGGAATAAAATTGAGGCGAACTAATTTTTGATCGGGATTGTAGCTCTCATGCAGAAGTTGCTTTTTTAAATGAATGGTTTTTGTGGCTTCTAGCAGATTTTTAAGCTTTTCTGTCAGAAAGATCAATATGTTTTTGACTAGAGGGTTTCAACTAACAAAATTGTTTGATCTGCGCACATACTTGTTTTTTTTTTAAAATGAATAAATTTTTGGTTTTTGTACTATTTTACTAGCCATAAATTGGGCTTACCACGGAAATTTTTAATATAGAAATTTATTAAGTCCTGATAAATGTTTTTATTTTTTCTTGTTAAATACTTTTTTGGCATTTGGATCATTTTCACTAGCCCAAAGTTAAGCAATACTCGGCAAAATGATGTTCGCTGATGAGTAATTCAGACTGCATCTCTCTCAATAGCTTTACAGTTCGCTTGAGTGACCTTTTGTACCCAATCCGTATGCTAACGAGCGCATTGTATTAGTATGACTCTAATTTTTTTCAAGCCTAACTCGCAAATAAAACTCATTTTGTGGCTCATTTACTTTTGCTATAGACACGATCTGTAGAATTGGAAACTTCAAAGCATCTATTCACTGTTTTAATTATTGCTAGTGTTTGCTGATGGCGACGGTAGCAGAGATGGAAGGAGGTCAGACTCGTAATCTTGTGTTCGGAGGCTCAACGCCGCACTTAGCTCAAGTTTTAATTATATTTGCTAGCATTTTGCTGCGCATAATTGACAATTTCTTAGCATATATAGCTGCATCATTGGTGGCTAGTGTTGGCAATCTTTCAAGAGCCCTAGGATGATAGGTGACCATGTGATATTATAAAGCTAGAACAAACAGGCTCTAATCCAACACATAGTAAAACTTAACTAATACGGTTTTTATTGCTAATTGGTATTTGCGTCCATCAGTCACGCTCAGTTCAAATGAAGACTTTTTGTTAGCAAAAACAGATTAATTCTAATGATCACTCTCTAAATTTAGAAGTCACAGGCTCTAATCCAGCTCATAGTAAAATTGTACTAATTTCTCCTTTTTTTCAATTTATTTTTGTTTCCTTCCTAGTGTTCGAAAGCACAGCTTCGCCTCTGTGTCTTCGCCTTTCCGCTATGATTCCTTGAGTTTCTTAATTTCTTTCACCAGAATTTTTATTTCATCATTCTTCACAAGTAATTATTGAAAATTTTCATCAACCGCTCTGGTTGCTTTTTTGCCCTGCCGTTTGTATCAATGCAATCAACTGTTTTAAATAAAATCAAAATCTAATGCAAAAATTATTGTTTTAGTTGTTTTGATACATACGGTTGCTAATGAGTACTTGTGTCCATCAGTCACGCACAACTCGAATGATGATATTTTGTCAGCAGAAAAAAAGATTAATTCTAAACATCAAAATCTAAATCTAGAATTCACCGGTTCTAATCGGATATTTAATCAAATCTTACTAAGTCGAGGCTGATTTCTTTTTTTATCTTTTTGAAACCTATTCTGGTTTTCTTCGTAGCATTTGCAAATCAAAGCTTTGCCTCTGTGATTTCGCCTCTCTGCTATGATTCAGTGATTTTCTTACTTTCTTTCACCAGAAACTTTAATTAATCATTCTTAATAAGCAGTTCTTGAGAAATTTTTACAGCTTTCGTTATTTTTCTCACCCTGCTAATTCTGTCAACCCAATCAATTTTTTCAATTAAAATTGACTTATGAGGAAAGAAAACAATTTTCCATTTGTCTTGTCGCATTCGTTTTTTTTGTGATTTAGTACTTGTATACATCAGTCACGCACAATTCAAATGGTGAATTTTTGTGAGCGAAAAAAAACAGATAAGTTATAAAAATCACTTCCTAAATCTAGAAGTTACAGGTTCTAATCCAAAGCATAGTAAAATTTTACTAATTTAACTAACACATAGTAAAAAACGCCCATTATTAAATGTCGATGGAGAAATGCAAAGCGTTGAAGTTTTTTGATTGTTAAAAACAATTTATGATTGACACTTTTGTAACAACTTTGACTCAGTTTGAGAAAAAATGGATCATTGAGAAAATTTTAATTCCGCGGGAAAATCCGCAATTTAAAAAGCGTTGCCGAAATTTTAAATCAATGCGGTTTTTCACAAAGGAAACCGCAAAAACAAATCAACTATCACAACGTATATAAAAGTGACTCAAGTAAACTTTTTTGACCGGAAAAAACTCCGACAGCTAAAGTTTTCTATCAATTAAAAGATTGCGAACCTCTCAGACAAAAAAACATATTGAAGGTAAAAGGTAACAAATATGCAAAAAACGTCAATTCGCGTAGGCAAGAGTTGACTCAGAAGGCTTTGGGGACATGGATATACTCCACCTCAATTGTTTTTACTTTCAAAAAAGCTAAGTTTTGGGTCAGAAACAGCGGTGGCATTTAACTTTTGTTTTCAGCACAGTGAAATTTAATTTTTTTAGGGACGGTTTAATGCATAGTTGGGTCGATGAAAATCATCATAATGAAACATAGCCAAAAGACTTTTGAGAAAAGATTCAATGAACGCAAGTAAACAGAAAAAAACTGGCTTGCTTTTCGACAAATCTCAATTTCCGAAAATCACAGAAAAAAGTAGATGCTCTTAAAGCTCTTCGAAGCTCTAGAAAAAATATGATCGGTTTTTTTGACAAAATAAACGAATTTTACAAAACTGGATCGATAAGGAAACTTTTTATTTCGCTTTAGCTAAAACCACACTTTCTTAATTCGAAGTCGATCAAGTTTTTCATGACTTTTACACTTTTGCTGTTCGATAGTGGAGTTTGCCTTTCTTCTAACAAAAGAAACGAACAGAACTTAAAAAAAAGTCAAACTGCAAAAAAGCTAATTTGAGCTTGAACAAATTATTAAACTTTTCCTAAAATAAAACAAAAAAAAATCATGGCGATCTATATAAAAGTCTGACTTACGTTCATCTATTCTTAAAAATGTCTAGTTTAAGGTAGTAATTAATATGGTTAGCTAGACTTAGATGGGAGTTTTGAAAATCTTCCTCTCGTTTGAGCAAAAATTGGCAGGGGTTTTCCAAAAATTCCTGAATGTAAATTGCCCGAAATGTAAAAAAGAGTTTAGATATTGTATTAAATTTGAAAAAAAAAATCAAAAGAGCTTATATCGACAGAACGTTCACATAGCGAAACTGAAGCTTTAGCAGCACTAAAACATTAACAAAACTAAAACTCGAAAGAGTACATAAGTTTGAACAGACACTCAAAACATCAGTGAAACGTTGAAAATTAGGTTTAGACTCTGCTATTGTCAAAGCTGAAACTGATATCTTCATTTGTTATACTAGACTGTCGTCTTTGCGACTTCTCCGAAGCTATCCCGCTATCGCTTGACTTTCTTCTGATCGACGAAGAGCTCTCGTTGTTTGCAGTTTGGCTCAGTCGCCTAGCAAAAACCGACGAATTTTCTCGTGGACGTCGAACTACGAAACTTGTCTCGGTTATTATTTTCGCATCTGCATTGCCAATCGTGCCCTCGCTCGGAATTGAAATTGAAACACCACGTGAATTTCGTTGATTCGGCTTCTGTTTGTTCGGTTTTGTATCGCCAAACATATTTGGCGTCATATCTGAAGAGCTTGATCGCCGAGGCAAGGAAAGTCTCGGAGCTCTACCATATTTATTGCCTTTCTTGGGTTTACTTATTCTCAGATTTCCCGTGGTATAATTTGGGTTGTACAGAAAGTCGTAAAATGGCCTAGTGTCGCGACCTCCTAAAATTAAATCACCAGTTGAAATTTCAGGATGTTTCATTCGTTCTTTGGACGAGTTGAAGGCCACTCTCGTTTTTGAGCCGAACTTTGATGCTGGTTTCGGACTTGGAACTTCAGTTCGGCTTCTATGCGAAGGAGCGGGAGATGAAAGAAGGTCGCCGAGTTGAGCAGAAGGTATTCGAAGCTTGGCAGAAAGAGTGTTTGTAATTTCAGTGTCACTTGGAATAGATGATGCAGAGTTGTTCCTAAAAGAAACACCCAGTTCACTTCCTGATCTTGTGCAAACTTTCTGTCGTAGCTGTTAATAACGTCGTCGTGTTTTCGCCATGGAAAAGCTACTCACAAGAATTACATTTTCGCCCTAATTTTTAATGAACTTTCATTGTTAAGTGCGCTATCGCGAAAAAGTTATATAAGTTTTTTGACGTTGAGCTTTTTTATTTGGCATTTAGACAAAATCAGGTGCGGATCTATTATTCACTAGAGGATGCGGGTTTTCAAAAACAAATTGAAAATGTTTGCCCGCTAAAGCTAGCCCTGGCAGTAATATATCAAAGGAGTTCATTACTGAAATGAACTTCGAATACTAACTTGAAGGGATCTTTAGTGTCCGGGTCAAATAAGAACGACTGCACAATATACTCTTTCTTTTTCTCTTTTCCTTTGTCTTTACTTAGGGTATCTTCTTCTGCAATGGTGCTCTTATTAGTCTTCTTCGCATGGGGACTCTTCGATTTAATGCGACGGCGACCCTTGCTGATTCGTTTGGCTGCACTTTTACGCGACTCTGTGTTGATCAAAGACCACCGGTTGTACCTGAAAAAAATCCAAGTTTCAAATAAATTTCAGATAAAAAATAATTTGTTATATTAATTTACAGCATATGTAATTGAGTTTTTGAAATAACTTTAGTAATTTCAACTGCATATGAAGTTATTGAAAATACTAAAGTGAATATGAAATAATTGCAATAAAAAACTAAAAGTAAATATGAAATGATTTGAGGCCCATATATTTTCAAATATATTTTCACGGTTTTAAAATAAATAGAGTTTCTAAAACTTGACGAGTTTCTAAGAGATCTCTATTTCACTCGATCGATTTCAGCTCTCACCTTATTGGATATGGCTGCATACTCTCTCTTTTCCCGTCTCCCTTCTCACCCTGGTCCAATTCCTTCTTATCCCCACCCTTATCACCACTCTTATCATCATTATCATCATCATCACTCCCACTCTGCTGTAAGTCTGGTCTGTACCACGAACTGGATCTTTTACCTCGCTCGTTTAGAAAAGAGGAACTCCCGCGCTCTTTCATGCCTGATTTAAAAAAAAATTCATTATGAGGTCAAACTATGCACTGGATAGGCGGTCAATTTTGTGTCTGTATGTTCCTGGATTCCAGAGACCATTTCCGTGATTCCAGAGACAAAACATGTTCGAAAATGTAAGTTGGTTCCACTTAGGAAATTTCCATGGATTCCGCGTACAAATAACTGCAAAGTAATTTTTGTCGGCACATCAATTTTGCTGCGGATTCCCGAATGTAGTTAGTTGTTCCGGATTCTGCAAAAGTGAGCGGATGCCGCAAATTTATGCGGATTCCGTTTACAATTTGCGGATTCCGCTTACAATTTGCGGATTCTACTTACAGTTGCGGATTCCACGACAACTTTAGTTTACTATTATTATAATTATTATTTGTTCATGGGTTTCACAAGCGGTTCTGGATTCCACAAATGTTGTTGGGGATTCCGCAAAGCTGTCTGTTTTGGAGTGTTTTGGAGCAACACAGTGTTTTAGCTAGTTGTCAGTGGAATCCAAAACAGCACAGAAGATAAAAAAAATAACAAAGTTGCGGATTTTGCGACAAATTTGACGTTGACCTGTTGCAGAATCCGCTTACAATTCACAAAATGGACACTTTGACCCCGTAATGTTTTTCAATTTGAAGTTTTTGAACTTAAATTTCAAGATTTTTTAATGTTATACGTTTTTCTCCCTCTTATGAAAAGTGAGCATTTTAACGCAGATTTTAGTAATTTTAATTTACGCAGGTTTTAGTAAATATACCGGGGCGGCTTTAGAGGGGAGGCAAGGAGGCGTACGCCCCTTCCCCCCTGCTCAGGGATTCGACTCCCTGTCGACCTAAAAAGTCCACCTTTTGTATTTTTCTGAAATCTCCATTTCTGGCTGACACACCCAAAAGCTTTTCTAGGCGCCTTTAGCCCCAAGATGTACTAATTTTGAGGGGAAGGCGCGCGCCGAAAAAACGCAACTTTTCAGTCAAAATTATCTACAACTTTCCTGAAACACCATTTTTGAACTGTTATTTCAAAATTTAGCCAACGGCGCAGTATATTAGGCCAAAACATAGTATTTTTTTATTACTTTGAGAGAGATCGGAAAACCCATTTGGTCAACATAAAAAGTGCTCGAGAATTTTTTTAAAATAGAAAATAGAAGTTCCACATAGAAAATTCTAGATCCGCCCCTATATATGATTAATGAAATTTACAATATTGAGCAAACAAGCTATTTATATAGCTAGAGTTTACGGTTGGTCCCATACCTTTCGGGTTCCATAGACTATGCGTGCTAGGATACTGGTCCAACAGTTCGATGCTTGGTCGTTGCAGTCTACTAGGCCTAGCTGCTGGCTGTCGTTCGGCTGACACAGTATTTCGGACACCACTCATTTCTATACGTTTGAATCAGTGGCGTGCGCAGAAATTTTCTAGGGGGAGGGCGGTTTTTCGAAAAATAAATTGAAAATTTTGTCTACCTTTTTTAGGTCCACCAATTTGATGTTCCAAGCTCTCCAAAATTACTCTAAGGACCCTATTTTGTCGAAAATTTTCTGCGCCGCAGGAAAACTTAAAAAACAACAAATCAACACTCAAACTTTAATGAAGAAAGAATTTAAATCAAAAATTGTGAAAATGAAAACAAAAAAGACTTTTTTTTGTATAAAATTAATTGAAACCACTAATCTCATTTTTGGATTCCTGAAACAAGAAAGGCGAAAGCCGAGTTACCTTGATTCGGCTTGTTCTTCTGAGACCCGAGCGAGCTTCGTCGCGGCTGATTTGGATTAACCACTTTCGACTGTTTAGCTTCTCGGAAAAGACTTTCAGACGGTCGCTCTGTAACGTCAATAATAATCGGGGCTTTCGAATTTCTTGGAGGAATTCGGACAATAGATTTCTTTTCAGGCTTCTTCTCATCAATAGGTTTTTTGTTTTCGTCTTTCTTCCGGTAGTTACCTGCAGTGTTGCCGATTGAGCTCAAACTCGCTTTTACGAATTCAGGCAGATTTACTAGAATATAATTCCCTTGCTTAAAAATTTCAAAGAGGAAATTGTTATTAAAGATGAAATTGTTATAAGCATCAATTTCATGATGTAATGATCGCTTTTTACAAGATCGATTATGAAAACTTAATATTCTTGTCATAACATAATTAGTCGGCACGCCAGTTTGTGTAGAAAATCGCACAATGTGAACAATCAATTACTGGTGAAATTGGCAGGTGAGGGAAAAGGAAAAAAGAACTGTTATTCTAAAAACGCAAAATACTGGATCAAACCATTAAGAGTATTGAACTAATTGTTTATCTAAGTTTATTTTGAGCGAAGGTCAAAAATTGAAAACAGCCTCTGTGGGTATGACAGAGCAGAATATTCTTTCGAGAAAACTTTGACTTTTCATTATTATTTTGAATATTTCCTCGCTCTTGTTTTGTTCTTCTTGTTCTTAAATTCTTCATATGACTCAATACTTTTGAAAAATGTCAAATTAGATGTCAAGTGTAAGTTATTTTTGTGTCCCGTATTTTTCCAGGCAAATAAAAACAAAATATGTAATCAATTTCAGTTGAAAATGACAAGAAATAAGAAGAATTTCGGCTTGAATTGGTGTGCTTGTCTCGTTTTCCTTTTGCAGTAGAGAATGAGTAATGACTTGAGCCTGTGACCAGTGAGTATCGGGGGGCCATCTCTATCTTGGGAGAGACATCCTTCACGTCCTTCCATCTCCCCCTCTCTGGTCTCCTCACTATCTCATACGTCGGCTCACTTGTCTCGGGGTCTGAAATAAAAACACTGGGTCTTAAGATGCAACTGATCCAACGACAGGGATGCGGTGGTTAAGTGGTTACGTTTCAGCCTCTTAAGCGAAAAGTCAGATGTTTGAGGCCCACCCTGATTCGTGCTCGTTCCTAGCGTGTGAGTCAATATTACCCAGCCCTAGATCTTAAACGGGCGGAAAAGTGATTCTCTTAATTAAATTATTTCATAGATTATTTTAAAAACAACAAATTTAGAAGATTAGACCAAACAAAATTGACAAAATTATTAGTTTCAACCAAACAAAAATTGACAAAAAAAACGAATCGCAATTGACCAATAGTTATAAGAAAATAACTTAACCAAATAAATATTTAAATTCATGTTTCAGAAATATATGGGTAATTTTTTTGGCAAATTGCATTGAACAATAGCGAGCTTTTGGAGATTGGGAGGTAAGGGGAAATAATTCTTCTTTTAGCTATTCGAATCTTTTGGCAATATTCTAAGACATCCTTTTTAGTGAACCAAACTAAAACTTTTATAATTCCGCTTTTGGCGTAATGTACAATCAAGTTAAGAGAGGAAATCACACCAAAAAACGGAAATCTTTGGTCAAAGTTTTCCTAAAAAAACCGATAAATGGCAGCTTTGGTCTGCGTTTAAGAAATCCCGGATTGTCTTTTATAAAACAAAACTGCAAAATTTAAGTGCGTGAATGGAGTCTGTAGAAAAATGCTAGTCATACAACTTACATTCATGAAACTTGAATGATTAGTTATCACTATAAAGTTAAATATACAGTTGGAAAAGAGCCAACAGACAGTTGGAAAAGAGTCATGAACACAAAGAAACATAGAAAAAATGACTTGCTTTTTGAAAAACTTCAGCTTTCGAACCAGTTCTATGCTCAAACAGTTTCCAATTATTAATATAGTTCAAAAATTCAAATAACTAATACGATAGTCCAGTCACAGTCTTTCAACACCGAAGAATCAAAAATCACAAAGAAAATTTTTTGGATAAAAACCAAAGCTTTACAAACAGTCGCGTTTAAATTAGTGACATATAAATAATGTATGAAATTCAATAATTTAACTTGTTTGGGAAATCTCGTAGATTCATCTGCGTTATTATTGCCAATAAATTTATTGGGTTTCTCGAAAGAGAAAAAAAGCTGGTGTTGTTGGGCAAAACGCAAGAAAGAAAGCAGAAATTTTTATCAATAGAAAAATTGCATAGCATACATTTATGTTTGTAGAAAAATTGCCAACCATGCAAGAGCATTCATAAAAAAAACTGCTAACGGAGGTTTTTTGGTGTACGGACTAATAGGATAATCATTTTGTTTCATAAATTAAAATTTGATGGATAGCAGATTCTTTTATCCAGGATGCATGTCATTTTGTCATAATAGTGATTTTTCTTAGAAATATCAATTTGATTGAACTAGAAGAAATATTGACAAAATATCTGAAAAAAAACGAGACGGACAATCAGCATTACAGTCACGAGATGCAACGTTTTGCTTTTGACGAACAGATGAACGATTTTTTAAAACTTGTCGTTTTCTTTGCATCTGTATTACATAGCCAACAGACAATTGGAAAAGAGTCAATAAAGGCAAGTAAACAAAAAAACAGACTAATTTTTTGAAACTTTCGAACTTCAAAAAAAAACAAGTAAATGTTCTTCAAGAACTTTGAATAACAGAAGAATATGTGATTGACACTTTTTTGATAGAAATAACGCAGTTTAAGAAAAGTGGACCAATAAGTAAAATGAGTAAAATTTTTGTTTCGCTGCGAAATCGGATGACTAACTTCCATTTTCGAAGCTAGAATTATTGCAGCAATATTATTGCTTTCCGAATTTTTTGGCAATAAAATATTGTTTTTTTTCACATTTACAATATAATATTGCAATATATTGCAATACTTCCGAGAAGAAAAATGCAAGAAACAATGAATTGGAAACAACTATTCAAAATTATTTTTGTCAATACATTCTTTCACGGTATTAATGTCCCAAAATTTATGATTGTAATGAAGAAAAAGTTGCATTTGCAGATTAGCAGGCAGCATACTTTTCCGATAATCATTATAAATGGCCGGAAAATTACGTGCATTTAACCTAAACGCTGCTTTATTAATCAATTTAAGTATTGCAAAATATTGCAATATATTGCAGGATAAATATCAATATATTGCTTATGATAATTGTTCAAAATAGAATATTGCAATATACATATTGCAATATATTGCAATAGCAATAGTATTTTGATATGCCCTGGATAGAAGTCGATCACCTTTTTCGTGACTTTTACAATTTTGCTGTTCGATAGTGGAGTTTGCCTTCTTTTTAACAAAGGAAAGAACTGAACTTAAAAAGAAATCAAAAGGCAAAAGGCGAAAAATCAAAATTGAGCGTGAACAAATTTTAAGACTTTTTCCTGAAAAAAAATCGTCAAGACCTACACAAAAGTACTGACAACGTTCATTAATCTTAATCACGCAAAAAGAAAACCGTGTTCCCCGAACAAAAGTCAAATAGCAAAGAAGTGATCTTGAGCCTTAACAAATTTCAAGAGTTTTCCTGAAGAAAAAAAAACAAAAAACAAATCTTCAGCACCTCTATAATAGTCTGAACTATGCTCATCGACTCTTAACATAAATATTGATACAACAAACCTTCCATCACAGATTCAGCGGAGAACTTCTTATCATCTGCACTCAGTTTGGCATCGATAGGTGCCTCTTCTTTTCCCTCTCTGTTTCCATCGTCGTTTCCCTCACTGTGACTGGCTCGGAACACTCCTTGAGACCTTTTGGGGATGTCGTGGAAATCAGGAAAGCGCTTGTATTGGTCGCCCAGTCGTTTGTCTGAAACCCTAAAAACCACAAAAGAACGTAATTAGTAATCTTGTTTCGGTTGAAAAAGTAACTAATCCTCAGATCATCTTTCTTAAATAATCTCATCATATATCGACAATCACTTGTTACATAAACATTTTTGTACTTAAATTTTGTTAACTTGATTGTCAACTGTCTTAAAATAAAGAATAGGAGAAATCATTACACCAGAAGGAATTAAGGATCTACTTAACAATCGCCCTACCTTTGGTATCTACTTTAAGAATTGCCACCCCTATTAATAAAAGCAGTAAATAGCACTAAAGTGGAACCTGATCTAAACTACATTTTATAAAACTTTTATTAGTTTAATATTTTTTAATTATGATTTTAGTTAGTTGTTTTCACAAAAGCTTTTTGTTTTAGTTCAGTTATTTTGAAGAGTTACTCACCCTTGAGTAGCTCTTATTAAAAATAGGAGTGTGGTCACAAAGCGTGGATGTAGCACGGTGGGTTAGGCCGGCTATAGAGCATGCTCAGGACGTCCTTCCTGGTGGGTTAGGCCAGGAGTGGGAGTATGATTGCATGCGGTTTTTGTGAGAGGTCCTGTTATGTGACAACGTTTTATGTTGGGTTTGTTGTGGTTTTTCTTATGTTTTGTTGGTTGTGTCCTTTTTTCAAAAATCAAATTGTTTGTGGTATGGGTTTGACTTTCGACTTTTTTGTGTTTTATTATTTCTTTCTTAGACTTTATAATAGTCTTCAAAAGAATAAATTATCCAGTTTTAAACTGGGTTAATCCGGTTTGGGTACCGTTGGTTTCCTTTTCTTAGTCATGCTGTTATGCTATGTGTTGTGGTGTTTAGTAAGCTGCATTGGTTAGTTCTGTTTAGTATATAATTCCTTTCCAACCGGGTTAAAGTAAAGTTTGAAACATGTTATCTTGTGTTAGAGTTATCGAGTGTGAAAGCTTGGAACTGAAATTCATAACTTTAAACAAATTCTTCGTGGGCGAGCTGTGCGAGTTTGGATAGAATTTTTATGCGAGTGAATGAAAATATCAAAAGGTTAGTACTGCTTTTGCTTCTTATGAAATTACTACATAGAATTTTAACTTTACTGCTAGCTGTTGGGGGAAATTAAGTTACAAATTTTCATCATTATTAGATTTACTGCTGGTGGGGGAAAAATTTATAAATTAATTTACTGCATTGGTATTATGTTTATTTAATTGTTGGTGCAAAAATTTAATAGGGTCTTAAACAGTTTTGAAGAAGTTTGCTATTTTTTATTTTTCTTTTGTGAATTTTTCAGATGATCTAGGATGAAGGCTAAAATTCTAAAGAAAACATGGATAAAGAATGGTGAGTTTCTAATGTTGAATTAATTAGTAATATGTATAATTCATACTTACCTGTTAGTCGTCGGGGAAGAAACCGTGAGGGAAAATGTCGTGGATGAGATCTGAAGTTGTTAGTAATTTGGCTAATATGCGGATGATATTTTTAGTTTGAAGCAGTGGCCAAAGCAATTGAAGTGCCTTAATGGTGGTTAGTTCTTCAGTGCCAACTGCAAATTCATAAGGTGTGTTTTGGATTAGATTATATAATTTGTGGTTGAATTTAGTGTTATGGATGAATTCTAAAATGGGGATTTCTATAGGTTGTACAAACTCGTGTGGGATGAGGAAGGGTCGGGATTCTTCTGCGTTGAAGGTCTTGGTGATGGGACAAAAGATATACATTTGGGTTATGGGATCATAATTTCGAAGAATACCATGAAGGTTAGTATCTTTAATGCAATATGTGAAGTTAAGAAAGAATGGTGAGGTGTATTTGGAATTGATGAATTGAAAACGATGGTGTGGTTGTCTGGAGGGAGTGTGTAGGTCAAAGTGATTTTGGATGAAACGATAATAAGTATATGTGTGTGTTTGTTTAGTGCGCAACATAATATCGTGTGAGCAGTGCAAATCTCTTTCATGTGGTGCAAGGAAACGAAAGGTTAGTGAAAATATTTGGAAGCGTTCTTTAAAACTTTCGTAGGCTTGCGTGTCTGTTAGTGCTTCTGAGATAATGTGGTCAAACTTGCGATCGAAGATATTTAGTGTAAATACATATGGTGTTTTAATGAAAAATTTCTCGGTGATTTGTGGGTTAGCGAAGCGATCGTCGTCTAAGAATTGATCTTGGTTAGTTCTGATGATGTTATGATCGTAATATTCTAGTGTATATTCATTAGCTCGGGGTGCAGTGTGTGTTTTTAGTGATTTTTTGTATCCAATGTAAGTAAATTGTCTAGGTGTTAGTGGTGTAGTGAGTCGATATAGCATGTCCTTATTTCGTTCTATATCGATATGAGTGTTAGATAAAGGTAAGCAAAGGGGATTTGTAAAATGATAATATGAGGTCCAAGGAAGGGTAGGCATTAAAACGTATTCGTCTACAAAGTTACGTGTCTCGTTAGTGTCATGAGGGGTGTTTAAGGTGTATTGTGGAAATGAGGGTAAGGTGATAGCTAAAAATTCGTTTGTGTTAGTGTGTTGTGGATGGTTGATATATTCACGGGCTGTTCCTGGTTTCGCTGGGAAAGGATGGTTGGGGAACTTCCTTTTAAAAGTGCGGTAAGCTCTATTAGTGCTGAGTGAAGATACAGTAGTTGTGGATGATGGTGCTAATGAATCAGTATAAATTGAAGAGGGTGTAGGGGTAGGAGGGTTGGATGAATCTATTGTGGATGAGATTTGGTTTATGGTTGGGGTGTCAAGGTGATAGGATTGTTGTTGTAGGGTAATGAAATTATCTAGTTCTGGGGAGATTCGGGGGGTGTCTGAAGAATGAGATGATTGGTTTGAGTGAAGTGAGGAGTAGGTTGGAGTGACTTGGGAAGCATAAGAGGGTGTAGAATTGGTTGGGTCAGGGTTATTTGGTAGTATGGGTTGAAAAGGGGGTTGGGAAAAATTTAAGGGATTGGTGTGAAAATTATTTGATGGAGATGGTTCAGAGTCGGCAAATTCATCGGGGGTTTCAATATTCGGGTTATTGAGTTGTGAGATGGAGTATAAAACTGAGATGTGTGAATTAGTATCGGAATTCATGCCGGATGTTACATTACTGGATGGGAAATCGGGTGGCGGAAAAGCAAAAAGTGGTATTATTGGGATTGGAGTGGTGAGGTTGGTTGGGTGGGAATTTGATCGGTGTAGGGATCCAAGTTGTCGGCTCATCGTGGGCTAAAAAAATTATTATTTTGAGACTGAAAAGCGGTGGTATGGGGTTGTTCTATAATTTGTTCATAAGTATTTTCATCTTGTGAGTGGTGTGGCATTATATGTTGGATGGGACTTTGTGATATGGTTGGTCTAAAATTATTATGTGTTATGGCTAAATTTCGAAAATTACGTGGGACTAGGGATAATGGATGGTTATGTGGTAGGGGTGGTAACTGTGGTGCTGTTGGTGTTGTGTCTGCATTGTTATGTTCTTCGTCGTATGTGTTCTGTCTTGTTGCTATTTTTGTGTTATATTCTTTTATTTGTGCGTCTAAAAGAATTTTGTTTATAGATGTAGAAAATATTCCAAAAAATCCTGCAAATAGTATGCGTGCTACACTTGCTTGTCTATTGACTTGTGCGTGTATAGCACATGTGTTATAGATTCCTTTTAAGAGTGAAAAAAGAAATCCAATAAAGTTAAACATTGCGTATAAAATAGTTAGTTTTTCTAAGATGTAGTAGGGCCATCCTAGAAAATCAAGAATTTCATTCTTGAGTGTAACAAAGCTAAAAATATTGATAGGTGATATATCTTGGGGACGGTATTTTTCACCGTTTAGATATATATAATCTTTAATGTCTTTAAAATATCCGCTATAGTCTTGCGTATAGATGTCTGCAAATCCTGCGGTTTCGGCAAGTTTGCGTAAGTTTTGGTCAATTGATTGTCTTTGTATTGTGTCCATTTGTGTTAATAATTCCTGGAATTGTTGTGTTCTAATGTGATGTTGAATATCTGATTTTGAGTATATTCCTATTGATTGTAAGTCTATATTTGGGTTTCGAGCGATAGCGCGAATGCTTTCTGGTGAAAATTTTTTGAGTGATTGCATTAATGTGGGATATGGGGTGAGAAGGTAATATTTATCTTCATCAGGGTTTAGTTGTACTACGTTGTGGCTATTTTCTGATCCACATGGAACTGCGGTATCCCAGAAATAGGTTCTTCGTGAAAGTGTGTCAACGAAATGTACTTTATTCTTATAAAAGATAGGGATTCTTTTATAACATCGTTTATCTTCAAAAACGTATAGTGGTGATACTTTTTTAGTACAAGTATAAAACCATAAGATGTTTCCTTCATAGTCTAAAAAATTTGATCTATTTCCTGATAGTAAATATCCTGCGTAGGGTATTTTTAATACTGCTAGTGCAAGTGATTGTAATATTTGTGTTCTTTCTAATTCGCATAGTTGGTGTAATGTTTCTAATTCGGAGAGTGACATTTCTTGAAAAATTCGGCTAATCGTGTAGTCTAGTTTCATATCTAAGTGAATATCATAGTGGATATTACCAAAATATGTACTATTCATTAGTGATAGTTCTTGTAAACGTGTGCTTTGATCGTTTTGGGGTTTTAAATGTCCACCAGGTTGACCTGTATTCTTTTGAAAATTAACTGGTATATATGAGGTTCCTTCGTTTAGGGGATGACTTGTGGCGTATGGGTCGACTTTTATTTTTCCAGTGGTCATGTCGAATCCATTTTCGTATTCAACTAATATTTCAGAGTATTGTGTTTTGTGAAGTGGGTTTCTGTATTTACATGCAAGTTCTGTTTCTTGATATATTTGAAAACGTGTTAATTTATTTTCTATATTATGAATGTTTCGAAAATTAGAACTTATTTTTCGTAATGGATTTACTTGTTCATATGGTATTGATTGTATAAAATATTTTTCGTGAAATTTTATCATACGAGCGTGTATTTTTGCTACTTGAAATGTTGTACATGTGTCTTCGGGGAACCAAACAATTGTTGCT